GCGCGGCCGGTATAAACACCAGCATTGACTGAGTGGCCGCGATCAGCTCCGGTGGCCTTGGAGCCGTATGCGCCGCAGACGTGTGCAGTGAAGGACATATCAGTTCTAACGACACTGAATCTGCCGTTAAAAATGAACCATCCATTCATCATATCATCATGCAAAACTAAGAATTAGAATCATTGTAATGTGATGATCAAATATAGGTGCGGTGGGTGGCTGGCGGATCATTTATTTGAAGCAGCGGACTCAGGTGAAGTTTGAGCTCATCTGCGCATTTCTACACTGACCTGGGTCGCCAGTAGCAAACAATAACGCACACTCTGCTGGACAAACTAAGTAATTACACCATTTAGAAGCATATCATCTACGTTATATGTTCTGTAAAAAAAAATGTCATATCGACGGCATATTCGCCGATACCGATATATCTGCGACAGGCTCATATCGCCCGATAATGTCAGCAAAACGATATATCGGTTGGGCTCTAATAGAGATGTGGAAAGATAGTGAGAGATTGAGTGAGAGATTGGATGATGGAGCATAGGGACATAGGAAGCTCTGTGTGGGAAACCAAAGCCTGCACAAACAGACCCCCTCCTCGCTTGGCAGGAGATGACATGAGAATTCAAAGACAAACAAAACTTCAAATTAAAACCAGGAGGAGACAGATACAGAGCTCCATGTAAGGAGGGAAAAGAGACCAAATGAGAGGGAGACAGAGTCCACACAAATAAAGAGATAGAGAGCAAGACAGACAGAAGAATGTCAATAGTTGCTCTCTGTGATTCCTCCCAACCTTGGGAAGGGTGTTGGCATTTGAGTCTCCATCGACATCATCGTTTGATAATAGAAGCTGTAAAAACAGATCTCTGGGGCTGCTGGGACAGAGGCTTAGAGACCTGAGGATTAACAGCAGGCAGGACTGAACAGCAATTTAATAGGACGAGGGGTCAGAGCACAGCAGCTTCCTCTGACGGAGAAATTAAATGTGTGGTGATGGACAGGTGGGCGGGAGAAATCAAGGTGTAGACTGACTAATGCACATGCTTAAACCAACAGCCCCCCCCCCCCCC